GAGGAAAAGTACTTTTTCCTCGTAAGCTCCTCCTAAATTTACTAAGGTCTTACGAGGAAATTGTTTCCTCGTAAGTTTTCGAGGAGCTTACGAGGAAATTTGCTTTCCTCGTAAGATCCTAGTAAAGGCTTAGTAAATTTACGAGGAAGAATTTTCCTAGTAAAATTTCCTAGTAAATGCTTTGTTTTCTTGTAGTGCGACTTGTTTTGCGATTCGGCAATTTTGATTGTTCTTCGGTAAATCGATATCTGCATGCTTTATCCGAGTTGTTTAGGGTTCGATTTGGGGTTTTCTTCTTCTTTTGGTTTTGTTTTCGAGTAAATTAGTTTTTCAAATCGATTTAGGGATCGATTTTAAATTAGGGTTTTTGTTAGGGTTCGAAGGAGATTTGGGATACGATATGTGTTTCTGATTTGGGGCTTTGTTCTTCTTTTGGTTTTGTTTTTGAAGTGAACTTCGCGACCAAAAGATACATTAACGATTGAAGACCGATTTAATTGACAATGTATTTGTAAAATTTGGGCATCAACAATAATAATTATTGTATGTTTAATATTTGTTTTTCAATAAACATAATTTTATTTTATTTTTAGAAACTTCATTTTGGAGTTCACCAATAGACATCCAAAATATTGAAAATCCTTAATTTTCCAAAATTAATTAAAATAATGAAAACAAAATGCTAAGAACCACACTTAGAAGTTCAGCAATGGACTTGCTTTTACTTTTTTATTAACATGAAAGAAATCAGGATAGCTAGATACATACCGCTATTATATCCCTGGACTTTAGTTTTATGGGAGAAATATATCCCACGACTGTAACGCATGTGAAATTTGAGGTCTAGATCGACTAGTAGATTTAGTTCCAAAAATTCTTATACAAAAGGCATACCGAAATTATATAGCCCTCTACTATTTATTTTGGGGAGAAATATATCCCACCACTATCTACCAGCCGAAGTAACGCAGGTGAAACACTTTTTTTTTGAGAAAGAATGCAGGTAAAATTTGGTCTCATTAATTAAGTGATTGTGCTAATCACAGTTCATGATAGACATGGCCCATTCAGGCAGGGCTAAGTTCAAACCTAAATGCATAGGTGGGCACACGTGTTATATATTTCCGGATTGGAACGAATATCCGCTTTCTAAAATTTTGCAATTTGTGATTTGATTCGACTTTAATAGATATTGATTTTTAGTATTTACTTTGATTCGAAAGTTTATAGATATTCGGAATTTTCAAATTGAATCGACACAAATAATAAACTGAATCAAATTTAACGGTTAAAATGCCATGTCCTACGTGCATGCACATATGTTGACGAGTTTGTCATATGTGTAAGAGCATCCGCATCGGATAAATAGGTATTATTCTAATAGAAATCGACTTATGGTAAGAAATTTCTCAACGGAAATAGCTTAAATACTAGAATGTTGTGTATGTGGTATATATACGTAATGATGTTTGGAGAGAATTTGGGAGGACGCTATGGAAGGTGAGACCTTATCAAAGAGCTTACACCGGACGATGCAAGTGAATAATGCAAACTACAAGATTGTTTGGACTAAGTTTTGGTGGAAGATGCTAACTTGCCATTTTAATATTAGACGGTGGTATAACGCCCTACATCAAACTTCATATAAGTTGTCTCGATTTGCAGTGCAGACTGTGCAGTAAAAGTTCAGACACACCAAGGACTACTAAAGCTCCAGTGAAAAACAAATCCTAGAACTTCCTTCTTGTTATTAGCTCACAAGAAACTGGGACAGAACGAAAGAGAAGCAGTGTTCTCTGTTACAATGTTATTTAACTTATTATACGAACACTTCATCTCAGTATATACAGTTCCCTTCTCTCAGACTTGTGAGATTCTCTATATATCACAAAAAAATTCAATAGTCTCAACAGTCCTGATAGGATTAAGGCAAATAACAAAATCAAAAATGTATCCAACTCTCTCACTCCAGCAGATCCAAGAAACTCAGATCGAAGAACTCATCACCACTCTGTGCCTGTGTCTCGAGAGGAGGCAATCCGTAACCAGAGTCAACGCCTTGAAGAGGATGAACTCCACTAGTTTGCATGTACATGGCCTGATGTACACAAAACTAAACACTATCTACATGTACAATAGTTGGCATGTACACCATTAACTTGTGTATTATTTCACATGTACACATATTTAGTTAAGAGTAATCGTTGACAATACGAAAAATAAACTTGGTGGTTGATATATAGACATAATGAGTTAACAAAGAAAACACAATTTAATCATTGAAAACACTATCCACATGAACAATAGTTAGCATGTACACCATTAACGTGTATATTATTTCACATGTACACATATTTAATTAAAGGTAATCGTTGACAATACGAAAAGTAAACTTGGTGCTTAATATATAAGCAAAATGAGTTAACAAAGAAAACACAGATAAATCGTTGATTAATCAAGAATAACTTTTGAACTGTATTTTTTTTAAAAAAAAAAATCTAATAAATGAATACTTATATAAGATTTTGTAGTCTTGCAATAAATCAATATTTTTGTTCTCTCTACAGACATTTAAAAATATATAAATACATTTGTAAGTTTAGACATTTGTATATCTAAATAGCTTATGAATGTACACACAAATATCGATCTCACATGTACAAAAGTTCACATGTACACTATTTAACAAACTTCCGGATGTAAAATCAGTTTCTAAACATCCATGTGTACACCAATTTAATAAAGTCCAATCTTTGTCAGTTGATCAAAGTTCACGAAAAAATCGGTAATTCGATGTGCCTGATATAACAAGTTAACGAATAAAAGATAACCTTTCAAGTCTTCTAGTCTGGTGGCAACAACACATCAATATTTATGGTGAGGCTGTACACACATTGGTGGAATACCACGTGGATGTGTATATAATGTTAGTGTACACATGTTTGTGTACACAAGTACATTGGATGACCATGTAGATGTGTACATAATGTTAGTGTACATAATGTTAGTGTACGCATGTACATGTTAAAGAGATAGATTTGTATTTATATGTATAATGACAAGGAAGTGTGGTTTACGTGAATTAAACAACATGATTCTGTATGTACATGTGCATATGTTTCATGTGTACGAACAGAACATGTGTACATCACTTACATGAGTACATTGTATTTTACTAAGGCAGTGTTCATAAAACTGTGTAGTCTCATTAACATCTTAAAATCATGGGAATTTACAATTCGGTGTACATGTAAACAGTGAAAAATACTGCAAATTACAAATCTATCTAACAAATTCACCAGGTATACATGTGAATCTGATGTACATGTGTATTGTTGTACATATGAATGGTAAAAATATTTATGTCCATAGTTTATTGTTGTACATGTGCACTGTTGGACAATTTGGTGTACATATTTTTTTGATACTTCATATTAGTTTTTGTTCATTTAAATCATTTAGGTGTGTTTTTGGTTTATTGTATTTTCATAGACGTATTTATACTATAAAAGGTTAAAATGTGATTTCTGAAATTTGAGACAAAATTAAGAATTAACTTTTACATTTAAAAAATATTAGGGTTACAAAATAAATAACAAAGAAGTTTAGGGACTAAATATGCAAAATTGCCTAAAATAGCCATTGTTGTTCTCAAGTTTATCGTGCCAGTTTGAGAGCACGTAAGAAAGGTTGGAAGGTCACGGCGACGATGAAACACGACGAGAAAAGATGAATTGAGACACAAGAGAGGCAGGAAGGTCTTTTGCATCTTCTTCGCTGTCGTCTACGTCTTTACCGTCATCTATGTCTCCGTCGTCACTTTGCCAAAGATAACGTCTTTACCGTTGATGTTGTTATCATATATGTCATTATTACACCATCTTCGGAACTATACCTTGACATATCTTAAAAGATAGATTTAGCAATATAGATTACAATTATATGCAAGTTTTGTTGAAATAATATTCTGAAGAATCAGATTTCAATTTTGAAAGAAATAGAAAGCTTGAAAGAAAGAAAACGATGAAGAAAGATAGAGAACTCATTTTATCTGTAGTTAATTTAAACTTTAGATTATCTATAAAATGAAGGGTTGTGATTGGTTAGCGTAAGCAATTGGGTAGAAACTTGTTTAGTTAGATTGGTTAAATAAAACTACTTTAGTAGTAGAAAATGTCCCATAGTACAATAATAAACTCAAAACTGATCTATGGTGTAATATTTTTTTTTGTCATATCGGATAAATAGGTATTATTCTAATAGAAAGAGACTTATGGTAAGAAATTTCTCAATGGAAATAGCTTAAATACTAGAATGTTGTTGTGTATGTGGTATATATACGTAATGATGTTTGGAGAGAATTTGGGAGGACACTATGGAAGGTGAGACCTTATCAAATAGCTTACACCGGACGATGCAAGTGAATAATGCAAACTACAAGATTATTTGGACTAAGTTCAGGTGGAAGATGCTAACTGCCATTTTAATATTTGACGGTGGTGTAAGGCCCTCATCAAACTTCATATAAGTTGTCTCGATTTGCAGTGCAGTAAATGGATTTTATACGCATCATTTTGATGATCGACATAGAGTTTGTAACTAGGTAATATATTAACCATATCAAATATTACTTGAACCCAAAATAGTTTGTTCCGAACATTTATTTTACAAAAGAAATTCGGGTCACAAGGTCAAAACAAGTTTATCGCGTAGCTCATTATTCATCAGCAGATGCCCATTACAATCCATTGACATATATTAACGCCCATCAAGTTCAGACACAGTTAAGGACTACTGAACTGGGACAGAACGAATGGGACAGAACGAAAGAGAAGCGGTGTTCTCTGTTACAATGTTATTTAACTTATTATACGAACACTTCATCTCAGTATATACAGTTCCCTTTTCTCAGACTTGTGAGATTTTCTCTATGTCACAAAAAATTCAAGAGTCTCTCAGCAGTCATGATAGGATTAAGGAAAATAACAAAATCCAAAATGTATCCAACTCTCTCACTCCAGCAGATCCAAGAAACTCAGATCAAAAAGCTCGTTGCCATCCTGTGCCTCCGTCTCAAGAGGAGGCAATCCGTAACCAGATTCAAGGCCTTGAAGAGAATGAACTCCACTAGTTTGCTGCTTAACAGTTTCATTGTCCCACGGGTCCGAGCCCGTAAAGATGTCGCCGTTCAAGTCACCTAAAAGCTCAGCAACATCAAACATCTCCGAAGAGTCCCACTGTGTCTGATCCAAATCCTCCGGCCAACCGTAATCCGAAACAGAAAGTGAATCCGGCTGTTTCCGACAGCAAGTTTCCACAGCAGTTTCTTGTTTCTTCTGTTTCTCCTTCTCCTCCAAAACTTCATTCCAATACTTCTGTTCAAACTCGCTTAGCCAATCATCATCACCCATCTTAACATCCTTCTCCACCTCCAACGGACAAGCTTCAGATTCACAATCCGCATACTCTGTCTTCACGTCAACACGCCCTGAAGTCCCAACCGTACACACCTCAGACTGACTCGAACTACTCATAACATCAGACAACACATTCTTCTGAGGGAAGTTAAGCCGAGCCAACGGACCATACATAACCCTAGCCGCCTCGTCATAAGCACAAGCAGCTTCTTCAGCCGTAGGGAAAGTCCCAAGCCAAAGCCTACTACCTCTGTTCGGCTCTCTAATCTCAGCAACCCATTTACCCCAAATCCTCTGCCTAACTCCCCTGAAACTACATTTACCATTCTCCGGTCCTCCTTTTCCTTTCATACAACCTTTCTTGGATCCTTTCGCTGGTACTTTCCGCTTCTTGGGGGAAGCTTCTTCAATGTTATTCTCGTTGTACTGTTTCCATACCTGAAGCCTCTCAGCCACAGTGGTACCGTCTCGTCTACTTCTAGATTTTCTTTTTCTCGATGTATCGAGTTGAGTACTGTTAATGTCTCCACTATGGTCATAAACTGCCATTTGATGTCTTCCCAGAAACAACACACAATCTACACAACAAAAAGGCAACATTTTTATATCAGAACAACAAAAAGGCAACATTTTTATATCAGAACAACAAAAAGGCAACATTTTTATATCAGAACAACAAAAAGGCAACATTTTTATATCAGAACCGTAATTAAGACTATAACTTGAGTTTCGTAAATACCAATTAATCCAATTTCAAAGTGAAACCTAAAGACATAATTAAAGCTACAAAAACAGAGTATGCGAAGAACCCTAGAAATCACCAACTAACCACAAAGACGAGATTTTTACGAAATCAAATAAATTGATCATAGATTTGGTAAGTACACCAGAAATCAACATACCTAGTTGGGGATGAGAACTCAGAAATCAGAATATTAAAATCTGTTTTTTTTTTTGCCGAGATGAATCGCTCTCTTGTTCAGTGTACTTTGTTCGCGTCTTCTCTAGTGATATTTCTCCTTTTGGGTTAGAAAGCTTCTTTCAGGAATCAAAAATATCTAAATGACGAGAAGGGTCGAGGAGTATTTATAACCTTCTCTAGATATTTCAGATATTTTTATATTTCTGCTCAGTAAAGGTGACGTGTCGTTTTTGGATTCGGTCTTTGGAGCTTAGTCGTCTTCTCTTGTTGACGAGTGGCGCGAATCTTCTCGAACCACCAGAAACGCGCTGTTGATACGGGAAAGTAATCAATTTTTAACCTTTATTTTATAGACTTGTAGATAAGATCAGAAGAACATGACTGCATTATTTTAATATTTAACTAGATGATATCCCGCGCGCATGCGCGGGGTGCAATTTTTATACCAATATTTATTCATTAAATGGTTTTTAATATTTTGCAATACTACAATATTTATCGATTATAAAATGATGAATACAAATGTTGGTATCTTAAATCATCACAGGTCTAGACGTTTGAGACTTCGTCGCTTTTGGTTTGATTGAGACGTATTTTCAGATTTTGGTATTATATTCTTATAAATTCTATTTGAATTTTACTAATTATCGGATTGGATTCGATTTGGTTTTCTCAATTCAGTTTAGATTGGATTGTAACAAATATCTGAAATTATCCCAAAAAATATTTTTTAAACATTAGAAGTTGACAAAAAAATTCAAAATATTTAAACTATTAATAAATCTAATTTAAAATTAGCTAAATTATCTAAACAAACTAAAAGATATTTTTTTAAAAAGCAAATAACTTTCGAATACTATAATTTGTATGTACTAATCTCAAACCTTTTCACTGAAATTTTTAAATTAACATATTTATAATATGAATATCTACTAATGATATTTCATATTCGTATGATTTATGATAATTTGTATCTTGTTTGAAAAAAACAAAGTTAAACCATTGATCATAAAATTTTCAATGTGGGATTTTACTATTTTTAGTTATTTATGGTCGTTTTAAAAAATTAAAATTATAACCTATAATTTTTTTCTTATATATTTAATGTGATATGTTTAATTTATTTTAATAATTTAAAATTAAACAAAAAAGAGAGAGGACACAAAAATATGTATTATTCATAATCATTAATTACATATATGTGCTAATCATATTAGGTAATTCCGTAGCTTTTATTTAAGGAAATAAAATATATTGTTTTATACCTAACATAGTTGGTCTCTTAAAATATGTCTATATATTATAGTCATAAATTCAAAAAATTAAATGTTACATTATTTCATTCCTAACAAAGTTGGTCCATTAAAAAATTAAAACTGAGAAGCTCTGTGAACTTGACACGTAAGCATGCTCTCCAAGGTTGTACATTTATGAATGTTTCAGGATTAATATATAAGGGATAATTAGAAGAAAAAAAACACTGATTCGTAAGTGGCAAGTGACAGCAGTTCATGGTCGCATCTATTTTCCTTATTACTAACTCCTCCTTTCTCTGACATTTTCCTTGCCACTTTTGTCAAACCATGTAAAAAGGTTCATAATAACAGAGCAGTGTATATTTTGTTTAACATTAGTCACTCCCTCTTTTCATATTAAACTTCCCTTACAAAATAAATGTTGTTTTAAATTTTAATGGATTGTATATCATTAGTTTATTCTTTTACCTCTACATTAATTAAATAAAATAAAATAAAATTTTAATAGTAAAATAGAACAAAGCTGAATATTGAGTTACTTTTCAATTTAAATAAAAAAACAAAACGACATCTAATTCGAAAACAAGAAAAGATTAATTAGTTAATGAATAATGCAAGAACTTATATTTTAACAGTGTGCAGTTATAACTGTTGCAAATCAGCAATTTAAAAAAAAAAAAAAAAAAAAAAGAGAACGCCTATTATAGTTGCCAATTACCTGTCAAAAAGTGACTAAACATTAAATATTTGACAAGTATTAAATATTATATTTTACAAGAGCCGTGTCAATTGTTGAAGCGCAAACTTGGGTGGCTAAGTTTCGACCAGATCAAGAGGATCCATAATCATATAATAATATGGTTGCAATGCAAGTTGTTAGGAGTAGCAGCCAGCCATAGCCTTTGCATGTGAGTCGTGTGTCATTTTGAAACCGTGGCCACTTCATCCACTACGTGTCCCCAACGCCATTGATGATGTCATTCTACGCATTTGCGTACGTACTCCAAGTCTCCAAGCCCATCTCTTATCTCTTTTAATTCCCTTTTTCTTTTCCGTGCCACATGAGCCATCTCAAGTCTATAAGAGCATGTGCAACGGTAGAAAAAAGAATCCTTAAGCTTGAATCCTTAATGCTTTAAGAATAAAAAAATATTAACTTACTTCACTTTATCAAGGATTGATCCTTAATTAAGGACTAATAAGATGAAATCCTTAGTGACGTGGCACTCTTTTTCTTCTTCTTCCTTCTCTTATGGTTCTCCGTTGTTCTCTGTTGATGGCGTGAAGTTGAACGAGATTAATCCAAGAATCCTCCACCAACCACTCTCCTCCTCCTCCGGATTTCGAGTCCACTCCGCCTTCTCGGATTTTCCCGATCAACCTTTCTTCCTTGAAAATCAGTTCTCTACGTGCTCTCCTCCCCCGATCTCCGCCGTCATCACCGGCGTAAACTCCACTACCACCACCACGACCAAAATTCTCAGTATTTTAATTACTCTGCGTTGGAACCAATATTGATTACGTGAAAGATCTCTGCTTTTTTTGTTATTGTTTTGGGTGGTGTGGTTGTAGAGAAGGCGCAAATGGTGTGTGGATCTTGCAGGCGTTTACTTTCGTATCTACATGGAACCAAACACGTCAAGTGTTCCTATTGTCTGACTGTTAATCTCGTTCTTGAAGGTTCTTCCTTTGTCTCTTTATTCATTAACTGTGAAATAAGCATGTCGTGTAGATAATCTTTGGAATGAGTCAGTGATATTATCTATGTTCTTGCTGGTTTCACTTCTTTTGTTCGTCATCCTTTCTGCTCAAAAAATACATTGTCTTGACGTGAAGTGTTGAGCTTGGTATGTAGATTCAGTAAAATGCTCAAACAAGAAGGATCTTTCGCTTATGAGCTGTTTTTGTCTCTTGTCTATCATAGTTACTCCCGTATCATAGTAAACTCATGTTTTCAGAGGTTAGTTAGGACTTTGGTAATGATTCAGTAAATGGCTCTGCTTTTGATTGGTGTGTAGGTTTAACGATTTTGTAAATGGCTCTGCTTCAGAGGTTAGTTAGGACTTTGGTAATGATTTACTTGTTCTGTTTCTGATATAGGTTACTTGTTTAAGGTGTGTGATGGAGCAACCACGGTTCATATTCAGGATTGCTGGGGATTGGATGATGCTTCTTTCAGTTTGGCTAAAGCTGCCAGGTATCGTTTTACATCATGATCCTATCAACAGCTTGGTATTCATGTTTTAAACTAAACTGTAACTTGTATGAAGCAGTGGTACTAGCAGTAGTAGAATAGGCTTTTAAGCTAAACAAAGATATACATTGATCTACATGTTTCACAGTGAAGAGTATTCCTAATTAAGTAACACCATTGGACAAACATTTTGATTAGAGTCCTTAACTATTCCAAAAAACAAAAAAAAACACTAAAATAAGGCTAAGGACTCCACAATGGAATCCGCCATTGTGGATGCTCTAAGTAAAGCCCATTAATGTTTTGGCGAGCTTTGTTGAGATGAATAAATGGAATTGTATAAACATGGTGCTCAAAAATCGATATTTTTTTTCATACTTTTGAATTTCCTTCAAACTACAACAATTGGTAAGACAGAGAATATGTGAACTATGACACACATTGAACACTTACATTAACTACGCAAAAGGAAGCATGATTATCTCTCACAAATAAATTTGATCCAAAACAATACAAAATTTTGATTGTTATTCTAAAAATAGCAAGTGACTTTCACTCTCAAGTTTGGATTATGGATGCTGATACTAGCACACAGGTAGATCATGAGGAGCAGCTTCAAGAGTTTCCAGCTCTCCGACACCATTCTCAACCAAAAACGCCATACCAAGGCCCCATTTGATATGGACATCTAAGTGACAATGCATCAACCAAACCCCTGTTTCATTACAGAACATATATATTTTCATAAGGAAAATGTAATAATTGTTACTACATATATTTCCATTATTCGTTAAGTTTGATAATTACCTGGATTGTCGGCCACGAATCTGATAACAGCCCAACCATTGACAGGAACAGCCACAGTGTTCCTAAGTGGAGGATCAACTAGGTTAAACTTAGAAGTGTCTTTCTTGGGGTTGAAGTTACCAAACCCTTCTCCCACAATGTAGAAATCGTAACCATGAAGATGAATGGGATGATTCTCCGACGTAACAATATTCGTGTCCTGTAAAACAATCTGAACCCTCGTTCCATACTTGAGTTTATACAGCTTAGTACCCTTAACCGGTTGAAACAGACCCCGGCTTATGTTATTTCCGGTATAATCGAATTTAACCGGCGGTTTAGCTGGAAAATCCGTCGTGAAAACACCTGGAATTCCGTTTGAATGTGCTTGCAAAAGTGAGAAATTCGACGGTAGAACAAACGAAACGTTGTTCATGGAGGCGGTAAACCGGGTCCCGTTTAAGCCTTGGCACCGGTTCTTAGGAAAATTCTTGGGACATTTATCGAGACCTAAACCGATGGTGAAGAACAAATTTTCGTCAATTGTTTTCGGTACGACGACGTTTCGAAGAGATTTGAATTTTCTCGAGAATGACGTCACGGTTTTCGTGTGGTTGAAGGCAGGCAAACGCGGCATGATTGGTGGAGAAGTTTTTGTCGTTTTACTGTATTGGAGAATGGCTGTAGTTGTGGTGTTGTCAAACGGTGCGTTTTGGGCGCTTTGGTAAGCTCTGGCTGCTATGTAGTAGCGTTTGGGCGGTTTGTTGGCGGTAAGAAGTACATCAGTGGTTTGGCCCGGACCTAACATAAGGAACTTTGTGGTGAATGGTTTGAGGTAGGAAGCGTCAGCTCCAACCACTGTGAGTTTGTGGTTTGCCACCGTGAAAAATAGCGGTTGGTTTAAAGCTGCGTTGATCACTCGTAGAAGACTTGTTTCACCTGACGTTACCGGTACTACAACAGTCCCTGCATTTTAATAAGTTTTAAGTATATTAACTTTTTCAAATACTTGACAACGGTTATATTGTATAGTTTTTGTTTTTACCTTTGGTCGAGCAATTATATAGATCACCGGGTTGGCCATTGATGGTATAAGCATCGGATATATTTGGAGCAGCTCCGGTTTGAGTCGCTTGGTTAATTACATTAACCGGATTTGCATTCCACCATTCTCCTGATAAAAATATCATTTAAATTAAAAATTAGATTACTTTTTGGTTACGGATTATAAATTTTGATATTGCATTAAGATTGTGAAAGGGAAGATTTTGGTATAGTTGGGTATATACCGAGCACGAGGGCGGTTTGGTGATCCGGTTTAGGAAATGGAAAAGAGGAACCAGGGGCTGGGTGGATGATGAGTGCACCGTAGACGGTGGCTCGGAGCCAGGAGCTATGTGCGTGCCACCACAATGTCCCAACTTGGCCTTGGATAGTGAAACGGTACGTGTAGCTCTTTCCTGGTCGGATTGGGCATTGGGTCACGAATTCAGGACCATCAGCCCATCCAGTTCTCATCTGCCTCACACCATGCCTGTTATCCAAAAAAGAAAAAAATATATATATTATTACTAATTTTTCATCCTTTCATAAGATTTATATAATTTATAAACTTTTATGTTTTAAAAAAAAAAACAATTTGTCTCATTGTCAATGTATGTGTATATATATGTACGAAGTACCAATGAATGGTGATATTGTAACGGGCACGGTTATGGACTTTGACTTTAAGAGTGTCACCGTCATTGACTTCGAGTGTTGGTCCCGGGAACATTCCGTTAACGGTGATGGCGTTGCGGGTCTTGCACAGCCTCTTCACTGGCGTCTCTTGTATCTTCATCATTGCAAATGCACACACACACAACAAAATAATGTCAATTATCACTACCGAAAACAATGCATGCAGTTACAATTTTATATTATTGAGGAGACGTACGACGAAGTTATGGTGTTGAACTTTAGCGATAATCGATGAAGCGGAGAGGAGGGAACATAATATCAACCAGAAAGAGAAAGTGTGAAGTGTCGTCATCGTGTGAGTTTGAAACTTTGAGCTATTATTTTTTGAGATAAAGTTTTGTAAGGTGATTAAGAGATAAGATGAGATGAGAATTTGAGTGAGTTTGAGAGAGGGAATATGCTTTTTATACTGCCATTACATGCGAGTTATTTGTTAATTTATGTGGAGTTTGGAAGAGTTAGATTCTAATTATTCAAAAGAAAACTAAAATTATCGGTCACCAACATATTTAAGTGTCTATATCAGTTCGTTGGCTATGTTTTTTCTTTGTTTCCTTTCACATTTTTCATCGAAAACCAAAACCATGGAATATGTTTTTTAATCTCGATTAACAGTGTATTTAGTTAACGTAGGATTAGACTAAACACCTAACAAATATATTCCAATACCAAATAAATATCTGGATGTTATATACAAAATGATACTAGCTATAGTATTCCTGAAGTTTGTTTTATTTAATTATAATAGTTGATATTTGCAAAAAAAAAAAAAAAAAACTAGTAAATCATGATGGAAACAATTTATTTGATGGATATTTAATATATTGCAGAATCATGTTCTGCAAATTTTACACGCCTTAGGTTTTAAAACTTAGTCTGTGTCGCACTCTTTGAAATTGAGAAGAGAAATTGAGACATTGAAAGGGAGCAGACTTAGTCGAGGGGAGTAGTTACACCCAACACTTAGCATAATTTCAACAAAGTGTAGTTGAATTTGTTGACATGAAGGAAATACTAAGATAAGAAGAGATGACCATTGGTAGAAGAGCTTGACCATATGGTCAACTACAAATAAGATGACCATTGGTGTAAACGTGACCATGAAGAGCTTGACCATATGGTCAACTACAAATAAAATGACCATTCGTGAAAGCGTGACCATGAGGAGCTTGACCAAATGGTCAACCTCAAATACGATGACCATGGGTGCAAAGCTTGACCACGATGGAAGGTGACCATATGGGCAAATTCAAAATCTCTTCTTCTGCTCTTCCTCACGTGCATTTGACCGTTGTGTACCAACTTGTATTATTTTAATTATTTTATTTCAGGTCTCTTGCCTACTTATCTTGCTGTAATGCACATTGATTTAATCAAGGAAAATATTTTTCCTCCTTCTATTCTTCTTAACTCACGAAAGTCTCTCTCTCTCTATTATTTGTTCTTCATTCTCCAGCAACAATACTTTCTTAATCTCTAATTCTAACATGGTATCAGAGCATTCTTGCTCTTGAGACCACTCATTCTCTATTATTCTTTGTGTTTCCGCAAATCTCTGATCTTTTTCATTCTATTTTTGGCAAAGTNAAGCGGATCTTATGGTTCTCTCCATCATCCAGAATAGCCTTGAACCATCCATCTTGGAGGCTTACTCCTACTGTGAAACCTCCAAGGAGCTGTGGGATACACTTCAGAAGGTCTATGGGAACATCTCCAACATCAGTCGTGTGTTTGAAGTCAAGAGGGCTATCAACACTCTTACCCAAGAGGACTCGGATTTCTCTAAACATTTTGGAAAGTTTAGATCCCTGTGGGCAGAGCTGGAGATGCTGAGGCCATCTAGTGTTGATCCTGAAGTGTTAAATGAGAGAAAGGAACAAGATAAAGTGTTTGCTTTACTCTTTACTCTCAATCCAGTGTATGGTGGCTTAATCAAGCACATTCTGAGGAGTGACAAGCTGCCATCTCTTGAGGAGCTGTGCGCTC